GCGACGCCTTCGCCTTCGCCATGACCTTCTTCGGCCTGGCGTCCACGCTCATCCTGTGCGCCATGGCGGTGGAGCGCTGCCTGGCGCTCAGCCACCCGTACCGCTACGCGCGGCTGGACGCGCCCCGCTGCGCCCGCCGCGCCCTGCCCGCCGCCTACGCCTTCTGCGCCGCCTTCTGCGCGCCGCCGCTGCTCGGCCTGGGCCGCCACCAGCAGTACTGCCCGGGCAGCTGGTGCTTCGTCCGCCTGCGCGCCCCCGCGCCCGCCGGCTGCGCCTACTCGCTGGCCTACGCCGGCCTCGTGGCGCTGCTGCTGGCCGCCATCGTGCTGTGCAACGCCTCGGCCACGCTCAGCCTGTGCCGCATGCACCGCCAGCAGCGCCGCCACCAGGGCGCGCTGGCCCCGGGCCCCGGGCGCGAGGACGAGCTGGGCCACCTGGTCCTGCTGGGCCTCATGACGGGCATCATGGCCGTGTGCTCCCTGCCACTCACGGTGAGTCCTCCTCCCCATCCCCAGGCAGCCCAGGGGTGGGTGGTGGGTATGGGGGTGCCCGGCTCCGGGCTCCCTTGATGGTGCCCATTTCGCGGATGTCAAACAGCGGCCGGCTTCCGGGAGGAGCCTCTCCCACGTGTGCTTCTGCTCCTCTGACCTCCTCCTGACCCCTGGGACACCCCCCCCCCTTCCAGATTTCCTGTCCCCACACGCTCAGGGGCTCCCCGGCCTCCCCTGGCCCCAGTGAGGAGGAGACCCCCCTTCATGGGGCCCTTGCCCTGTGGCTGACCCCTCTGCGGGCACTGACAAGGAACAGGTCCGAGTTCTCACCATGAGGGGCAGTGGCTTCTGCCCACGATGGCAGAGTCCGGTCTGCACCCAGGCTGCTTTGGTTCCAGAATGTGACCCCCCCCCTCCAATTCCCCCCCGCAGACACCCGGGCTCCCTCCGCCCAGTGCCACCCTCTATCTGTCATGGGCCCCCCCTCCTCCACCCCTTCCTCCGTGCCCACCCAGGCTCTCCGGGGTGGAAGCAGGCAGACACCTCCGCTGGCACCTGGTCACCCATCTGTCCTCTGGCCTCGCTCTCTTTCTGTGGAAGCCCGGGCTGAGCTAGGGAGAAGCACCCCAACTTCAGGGGGTTACCGATGATGCGGGGACACGCACAGCCCTGCCGGGGCCGCCCACACGGCCATCTCGCCCTCTGGGCCTCCGGGCTGCTTCCTGGGGCTTGCTATCTCCCCTCTCCCCGGATGCCTCGCCTCCTTTCTTAGTTTTCATCTTATTTCCTTCCCCTTCTGCCAGGCCCTCCTCCCTCCTGCCCCCTGGGTGAGCAGGCGGGTGGAGGAGGGCGAGGCGGGCGGTGGGTGGTAGGCGGTGGGTGGTAGGTGGGCACCGGCTGACATCCCCCCCCCCCCCCCCCCCCCCGCAGATCCGCGGCTTCACCCAGGCCATCGCCCCCGACAGCAGCGAGATGGGGGACCTCCTCGCCTTCCGCTTCTACGCCTTCAACCCCATCCTGGACCCCTGGGTGTTCATTCTCTTCCGCAAGGCCGTCTTCCAGCGCCTCCGGCTCTGGCTGTGCCGCCTGCGCCCCCGGCCGGCCCGCGGCCGCCCCCCGCACCCCCTCTCCCAGCACCCCCGCTCCCAGCCCGCCCCCGGCGGGAAGGACCCCGGGGGGAAGGACCCCGGGGGCAAGGAGGGCAGCCCCGTGCCGCTGCCGGCCTGGGGCGAGGCCCAGCGGCCGGGCGGCGCCGTGGAAACGGGAACGCTGTCCAAAGAGGAGGCCTCGGCCGCCTGCTCGCTCTGCTGACATCCTGGCGTCCGGGGGCCTCCTGTGCGTCTCCTGGGACAGCGGCCGGACGGTCCGGGGAAGCTGGCAGCTGCTGGTGGACAAGCAGAGCGATGGACCCCGGAGCTCTGGCCTGCCAGGCAGGGCCTTCACCCCTGAATCTCTGGGGGGGGGTGCGCGGGGAGGGTTGGGAGGGGCAGTCAGCTGCTGTTCTCCTCCAGGGTGGCCACACCAGCTGTGGGAGGAGATGGGGGAGAGGGAGCACAGAGCAGTTCCCTCAAAATGACCGGTGGCTGCCGGCTGGGTCCCGGCCGCCCATCCGTCTCACTGTCTAAATATTTGGGAGGCGGGAGCGTTTCCAGAGCTCCCGTGCTCTGGCGTCCGTTAGGGTCAGTGTTCCTGCCGGTCCCCACCCATTCAGGGTGCCCCCGGCCCGGGGGTGTGTGTGAGGGGGCCTGCCCTCTCCCAGTCTCTCCCCGAGCCACGCCCTCTGCCCCCCTCACTCTGATTCTCATTCTCCACCTAGCCCAGGAGGGGCGCCGGGAACGCTGCTGGGCGTGTGCCGGGAACTCGGTGTGGCTTCAGGGTCATAAAACTCAGACTGGGGAGGCACGGGCATGGCCATGTGTGAATCCCAGGCTCGACCCAAGAATGCAGACCTGAGTCCTGTGCTTGTCCTGAGAGCCTCACAAAAATGTCATTCATTCATTCATGCTTCATTCATTCATTCATTCATTCTTCATTCAGCAAGTAGTGGGCGCTGACTCTGCGGGGTGCTGGGGACACAGACCAGTCTCTGCCCCACCCTGGACTCCGCTGGCAGGTCTCCAGACTGCCACCCCTGCCCTCAGAGGGGCCCAGGTCGCGGGTCCCCGGGAGTGAGCGGGGGTGGGGGTGGGGGTGGGGGGGCGCGCTGAGGAGTTGAAAGGACGTGTGCTTAGGGTGGTGGTGGGGTGAATGGGAAGATGCCCCCCCCCCCTCCCTGATCCGGGCCCACCTCAGTCCCTCTTTCTCATTGCTCCCGGGTGAAAACAGTGACTCTGAACCTGGGGGGGAGGGAGAAAGGGTGGGGGAGGCAGGGCAAGAGCCTTCCATGGCGGCTGACAGCAGCGAGTTCTCCGAGCTGTGAGCTGTGAGCTGTGAGCGGCTCCCTCTCACTCCCGCCCTCCTTTACAGCCTTTCCCCGGGGGCCGGAGTCCAGGCCCAGAGCGGGCAGTTAACCAGCCGCAGGCCACACAGCACGGAGGAAGCCAGCCTGTGGGCGGGCCTGGCCTATCTCTGCAGCCCAGCTCCCTTGTGGGGCCAGTGACTCTGCCTCTCTGGGTTCCTTGGCTTCCTTTGAAGGTGGCCGTAACCCGTACTTCGCTGAGGGATTGTGCTGAGGGCTAACTGCCTCCCTCCCTCCCCCCTGCTCGCCCTGCAGGGCCTGAAGCAGAGGACAGGAAGGTCCTCTTGCTGCTGTTGGCATTGCAGGCTGGGCTTTGGCTCGCTGGGCCAACGTGGTTTGACAACAAAGCAGCGCTGGCTCCGTTGTTTCAACATTTATCTCCGTGTTTCTTTCTAATCGTATCGAAGAGGAGCAGGGGTGACTGGGGGAGGTCGCCATAGGTCAGGACGGCTGCCTAACGGGTTTGGGGTTTCCTTTCGGGGTGACGAAAGTGTTCCGGAGCCAGAGAGTTGTGGTTGCATAACGCGGTGAATGTACCGAATGTCTCTGAACTGCACACTTTAAATTGGTAAAAAACGATACGTTTTATGTTTATATGGGTGTTTTACCACAATAAAAAAAAAATGTAATGGAAAAATGGAGTGTGTAGAAATTTTTAAGGCAGTCTTGACAAAGGAATATAAGATGCTAGAGGCTTGATGCACAACATGGGTGCACTTGGGGTGTCCTTCAGCCAGGCCTGCACCCTCTCGCAGTCCGGGAGCCCTTGGGGGATGTCCGACTGCTGGCTTAGGCCCAGGCGTGGGGAGTGGGCCTAATCTGGCAGTCGGACATCCTTAGTGCTTCTGAGGAGGTGAGAGAGGCTCCCGCCACCCCCACCGTGCTTGCCAGCCGTGAGCCCGGCTTCTGGCTGAGCGGTGTTCCCCCTGAGGGAGCCACTGACCACCAGGGCACAGCTACTGCATTGAGTATCTGCCCCCTGGTGGTCAGTGCACATAATAGCAACCAGTCAGTCTGCTGTTGGGTTGATTTGCAAATTAGTTTCTTTTTCCATTTTTTAAAATTAAGGTATTATATGTGTACATGTCTTTTTTTTTAAAAAAATTTCTTTTCTTTTTTTATATTTTATTGATTTTTCACAGAGAGGAAGAGAGAGGGATAGAGAGTTAGAAACATTGATGAGAGAGAAACACTGATCAGCTGCCTCTTGCACACCCCTACTGGGGATGTGCCCACAAGCCAAGGTACATGCCCTTGACTGGAATCGAACCCGGGACCTTTCAGCCCCCAGCTGATGCTCTATCCACTGAGCCAAACCGGTTTCGGCATGGGTACATATCTTACCATTGCCCCACCCCTCCCATACATGCCCTAACCCCCCGGAGTTTTGCAAATTAGTTTTTTATTATATACTAGAGGCTCAATGCATGAAATTCGTGCAAGAGTAGGCCTTCCTTCCCTCGGCTGCCAGCACCAGCTTCCCTCTGGCACCCAGGACCTGGGCTTCCTCAAAGCCCCAGCTTCGTCTAGAAGAACGTCTGGTCTAATTAGCATGTTATGCTTTTATTATTATAGATGATATTGAATTTCATAATAAAGTTGAATTGTAGAAAAACAGGTGAAGAAATGTCTGGTGGGGTCCAGTCTTTGTCAGCGAACATGGCCCAGACTCAGTGGGAACTCACCCACAGGGGCCCCTGGAGGGTGGAGGGGGAGGGTGGAGGGGCTGCAGAGGGCAGGAGCAGGGAGGGGCTGCCATCCAGGGGGCCACACCCTCCAGATTCTGTGCTGCCCTGAAGATGGGTCAATGCTTTCCACCTGGCCTCAGGGTGGCCAGTGTGGCCCAGTGGTTGAGCATCGACCTGTGAACCTGGAGGTCACAGTTCAATTCCTGGTCAGGGCACATGCCCAGGTTGCAGGTTCCATCCCTAGTGTGGGGTGTGCGGGAGGCAGCGGATCAATGATTCTCTCTCATCATTGATTCTCTCTCATCGATGTTTCCATTTCTCTCTCCCTCTCCGTTACTGTCTGAAATCAATGAAAATCCTATATAATGAAAGGCTAATATGCAAATAGATCGAATGGTGGAACAACTGAACAACCAGTTGCTATGTTGTGTGCTGACCACCGGGGGCATGCACAGAACATGGCAAGCATTGGCCATGGAGGGATGGTGAGTGGGGGTGCCAGGCCAAGGTGGGGCACCAGACACTGTCATCGGGGTGAGCCTCTGGTGGTTTCTGAAAATTCTTTGCTCCCGCTCGCTGTGGTCCTGAGCCTGGTGCCGGCCCCAATCCCTTGGTGCTGTCAGTGGCTGCTGACCCCAAACACCCCTAAGGGCTTCTCCTCCTCCCCCTGCTGCTGAGGGGTGATGGAGGCCAGCAACAGCCTCTTGCACCCACTGCCAATGCCAACCCTGCTCACACCTGCAATTGGCACCAGATCTGCTGCTCGCACCCACTGCCGATGCCCAGTGCTAGTCCCAATCGTCTGGCACCTGGCCTTGATTGCTCCTGAGGACTCTCACCTCCCCTGCTCCTGAGGAGCGATCAGGGCAGCAGCCACTGCTCTCACCTGCTGACGGCAGGCACTGAGTGATTGGGGCCAGTGCCATCCGCGTGTGGGAGTGGTGCCAGCGGGAGGGGGGCTGTGGGCAGACAGGGGCCTGGGGGTGTGGTGGGAGGGGCCGGGCAGGGGCGCAGAGGATGGGCTGAGACCCGCCCCTGTGCCCACTGCAGCCTCGTGGCCCGGTTCCTTGTATGGTGCACGAATTTGTGCACTGGGCCCCTAGTGCATTTAATAAAAACGAAGGCCAGCGCAGGCACGGGACCCACAGCATGCTGGCCTGAGGCGGGAGCTATTATCACGCCCAGCAGTCAGCTGCGGTGTCAGCTGCGGTGTCAGGGGAGGGGAGGAGGATGAAGTGCTGAAGCAGTTTCCTGCTCTCATCCGAGTCCGCCCTCCTCCACACCATCCACCACCGCTGGCCTAGGCGCCCACACTGTCCGCCAGGTCAGGGGTTTCAAACAACCCACCCCGGCCACCGCCGGCCTCGGGGGCGACTTTTCCCCCCGCTGGAGTCCTGGCCTCCGTGTCCGTGAGCCTCTGCTCGCTGCCAAGGTCCCGCCCGGAAGGTCCTGTCTGAGCAGACACTCCTCTGCTTCCAGGCTCCAGGGCTCCCACGGCCTGGAGGCCGAGGGTCAAGGGCCACTCCCACTCACTCTGCGCAGCCACAGCCACAGCCGAGGTTTCCCCAGGGAGCCGTGACCTCTCAGCCTCCCCCTCTGCGTATGAGCTCATCCTTCCTGGAAGGGTGTCCCCTTCTCCATCCGCGGAAAGCACCAGGCCCTCCGCGGTCCTGCTTAGACTCCTCCTCCTCCTCCTTGAAGACTTCATCACCGCTGCAGGCACGCTGGCACTTTCAGGCTCCGGGGCGGCTCTCCTGCAGCTGCCTGGCCAGACACGTGCTCACTCAGCAGGCTCTCACAGAGGACGGCTTCCCCGGTGCAGTGACACACAGCCCGGCCCTGCCCTCCTGGGGGACGTCGGGGAGGGCTCCCGGGAGGCACGAGGCTTGGGAGACAGTGAGCCAAGGGGAAGCTCTGACATTGGCCTTCCTTCTTTATTGATTTTTTTTTTTTTTTTTAGAGAGAGACGAAGGGAGAGGGAGATAGAAACATGAATTGACTGCTTCTTGCAAACCACCCCCCCCCCCGCCCCCCGGAATCAAGCTTGCAACCTGGTCACGTACCCTGACTGGGAATCAAAACAGTGGCCTTTTGGTTCACAGAACAATGCCAACCCACTGAGCCACACCGGCCGGGCGAATGCCTCCCTTCTGGAGCCTCTCATTCATTCACGGACTCAATGCAAACCCCACCCTGAGCCTGCTCTGGGCCCGGGGCTGCTGTGTGCCTGCCGGGTGCAGCATGGCTGACTCGCCCATGATGCAGCGGGGTGACCACTTAACACTCACCCGCAGCAAACATACAAAGCTACAAGCTAGACATGCACTGAGAGCGCACAGAGCACGATCTGTGAGAATTACTACGGGTGCCAGGCTGGGCTGGGGGTCAGGAAGTGACACACGAGGGATGGATCGCTCTCCCTTGGAGGCTTTATTCGTCTTTAAGGTCATTTTATTTATTTAGTCATTGTCTTCCTAGCTTGGGACTTATGCCTAACACGCAACACACCCTGGCTGCCCGCTGCTGTTGCCGCTCAGGGGGACTTCTGCAGTCATTGCCCCCCCTGCTGGTCGCACTGGGGATGACATTGGAAGTGGCCACTGCCCTCAGGGAGGTGAGCGAAACCGGATGTCCCTCGCTTGGGCACTGGTTAGGCTCCTCCTGGCGTGTCCCCTCGTCCGGTCACTTTGTCAGGACAGGCTGTGGGCTGGGCCCGCGGGTCTGTGGGCCTGAGCTGGGAACGGTTGCCCTGCGTCTCTGCTCTGGGCTCGAGTCGGCTCCCCCAGCCCATTAGAAGCTCCGAGTGCTCTGTGTTTGATTAATAAAGAATGGGGTAGGGAAGTCATGATTATTTAATCACTTGGCCTGTCTGGAAGTAAAAGTCTTTCAAAACACAGCACCCAAGGGGGGGAAGCCACGTGGGCCCCGAGGCCGTGGGTGGCAGCCTGGGCATTGGGATCCCAACGATCCGGGGCTTTGAGGCCCAGCTCAGCGTTTCCAGGAAGTGCGGTGAGGAGCCTTCGCCTGCCCGGCCCTCAGCCCCGCACTGTCAGATCCCTCACGACGCCTCTGCCACAGCACTGTCTCAATGGGGTTCAGTCTGGCCTGGGTGAGAAATGAGATATCCAGAAAGTGTTTGCACAGCCCTCTGAGGTGTATATACAGTACAGGTAAAACTTTGTTAATCCTCAGCAGAGTACACTTTCCCACTGATTTTTAGAAAGTGGGGGTGGGAGAGACAGAGAAACATTGATGTGAGAGACCATGAATTGGTTGCATCTCTCATGAGCCCCAACCGGGGAAAGGAATTGAGCCTGCAGACAAGGTATGTGCCCTTGAGCAGAAGCAAAACCAGGACCCCTCCGTCTGCGGGCTGACACTATCCACTGAGCCACCCCGTCTAGGGCTGAGATGGATTTTTGTTTTTCTCAGGTAGATATATTTTTTAAAATATATTTTTATTGATTTCAGAGAGGGAGAGGAAGAGACAGAAACATCAATGATGAAGAGAACCACTGACTAGCCGCCTCCTGCACGCCCCCCACTGGGGATCAAGCCCACAACCCTGGGTGTGTGCCCCTGACCAGAATCGAACCCGGGACCCTTCGGTCCGTAGGCCGATGCTTTATCCACTGAGCCAAACCAGCCAGGGCTATCCTTCATTTTGTGAATGGAGGCCAGAGAAGGGAAGTCACTGCTTCCCAGAAGTGGCCCATGGCTTAGCGAGCACGCCCGGGCCCGGAACCCGTTCTGAGGGTCACCAAAGCCCCTCTTCTCTCGGCAACTAGGCCAGACTCTCCCACGGGCCTGGCTGCCAAGGCAGCTCCCATCTCAGACCCCAGCAGTGACCAGGGACGTCACTCGCTGTCCCTGGGCTGCCTGAAGTCGTCTTTATATGAAAATGACCATTTACCCTAAAACCGGCCAGCTGCCCAGCCAGTGTGGCTCAGTGGTTGAACATTGACCCATGAACCAGGAGGTCAGGTTCAGTGCCCGGTCAGGGCACATGCACAGGTTGTAGGTTCGATCCCCAGTGTGGGGCGTGCAGGAGGTGGCTGGTCACTAATTTTCTCTCATCATTGATGTTTCTTTTCCTCTCTGAAATCAATAAAATATACTAAAAAAAAAAACTTAAAAGGGGGGGGGGCAAGCAGCTGGGGCCCTGGGGCCTGGCCCACACAGGAAGGCCCCTGCGGCTGGGCCCTGCCAGACTCCCCATCCTCCAAGGCCGGGCGGAGTCCCTCCTGCCCAGCCTGGGGTCAGCGTGAATGCGAGCAGCAGGTCTGCACAGGAGGCGGGTGCTGTGTGTGGGAAAAGCCCCACAGATTGTAACATCCCTCCCCTAGAGCACGGCTGGACTGCAAGCCTTTTTTTGGGTAGAAAATTTTTATTTCAGAGAGAAAGGGAGATGGAAACATCATTGATCGGCTGCCGCCCCCCCACTGGGGACTGAGCTCGCAACCGGGGCGTGTGCGCTGACCAGGAATTGAACCTGGGACCCTGCAGTCCGCTCTCTGCACTGAGCCTCATGGCTGGGGCGCAGCTCTTCCTGTCCCCTCGCCTCAGGGATGCTAAGGAGCTGTCTGCAGTTTGCAGTTGCTCTTGGCGTTAGTTTCTCAGCTCCCTGTCCTGTGCCCTCTCCAGCTCAGGACCACTGAGCACCTGCCTGCCATCGGCTCCCTCCGGGAACGCCACCCCTTCCCCAGGGGACAGAGAACCCCCCCCCCCGTCAGGGCTGACACTCCGTCTCAGTTCTTGTCTTACCGTCTGACGTCCCACGTCCCCCACCGAGGGGGGCTGGTCTCTGGCCCAGGTGCACACCGGTGCTGGCCTATGGCGGTCACTCAAGGCTGACCAGCCTTCAGCGACTGCGGTCCAGCTGGGATCTGGACTCTGGCTCGGAATCCCTATGTGGCTGCAGTGGCCAGGCCAAGTTTTTTTTTTAAAATATATTTTATTGTTTTTTTTACAGAGAGGAAAAGAGAGCCAGAAACATCAATGAGAGAGAAACATCGATCAGCTGCCTCCTGCACACACGCTCTACTGGGGATGTGCCTGCAACCAAGGTACACGCCCTTGACCGGAATCGAACCTGGGACCTTTCAGTCCGCAGGCTGATGCTCCATCCACTGAGCCAAACCGGTTTTGGCCAGGCCCAGTCTCGGAGCAAGCAGGGAGCGAAGGCTCTTCCAGGCCAGGGCGGCGGGCCCCAGGCCCAGAAACCAAGATGAGGGCCAGAGCCAATCAGGTAGTCACTGTATTTTATTGGAAAACATTGATATATATTTTTCTTCACAGCTTGAACTGAACACAATATTGCCCGGTTTAAAAAAACAAAACCAAACCAAACCCACTCAGAAATGTCCACAGCTTCACGCCTGCCTGCCCTTTCCCTCAGCCCTTGGCCTGGTCTCCCGCTCCGCCCCGCCCCCTCCCGTCCCTGGAGGCGGTGTCAGAGGGTGGGCGACAAGATTCTCCAAGCTGGCAGGTCCCAGAGAAAGCCACGCGACCGGGGGCAGGGGCACAGAAATGGACAGGAAAAGGGAGAACGAAACAGAACCACCCAGACGACCGAACTGCCCACGTTGACTCACTTGTCCCAGGGCGAAGTCAGAAGCAAGGTCACGGATCATGCTCTCCGCGGGGTGGGGGCAGGCAGGGGCGGGAGGCGGGAGGCGGGAGGGGCAGAGGCAGCGCGCGCACACACGTGAGGAGCAGCCCCGTCACCACGGAGAAGCGGGAGGGGCCGCGGGCCCACAGGTGTGTTTATTGCAGGTGCTTTTTCGAGAGCGTGGTGGGGTGCATCTTCCCTCCCCCACCTTCAGCTAGCCCGGCATGGCTGTTTGATAAAACTGGACGTTCTCAGGGGCATAAGGAAACGACAGTGTGACCAGTATGACAAAGCGACCATCCCCGCCCGGCCCCGCGAGGGGACCTCCTGCGGGCGGGCGGGCCCGGCGGGAGGGAGGTGGGTGTTAGCACCAGGTATTTACAGAACAGCTGGCGATCGTGTTGGGAACACGGCAGGTCTGGGCAGGTACGGTTTGCAGAGTGGCCAATCAAGCGGTCCCACCCAGACCGGCGTCAGGAAGCCAATCGGGTGGGTTTGGAATATCAGCCAGTGGGTCCGAGTGCCGTCCCCGCAGTCCGTCCTTTTCTGAGTTGGCCCCTCAAGTGGGAAAAGAATGCCAGCTTCCAAGACTAAGACTCCTTCATCCCCCCACCCCCTCCGGAGCCACATCCACACCCACAACCCCCCATCCTCCGGAGCGTCCCTGCCCCAAAGGCTGCTGGGATTTGCACATGGACCACAGGCTGGCTGCATGCACAGACAAAGGCGAGCTTTCTGCCTGGGTGCAGGCCGCGCCCCCTCCCGGGCAGGTCCCTGGACAGGGCTGGAAGCCCCCCGGCACCCCAAATAAGATGACAAACAGAGGGAACAAACCAAACGGAGAGCCACCCGGGCAGGAGGAGGGCAGGGGCTCCCCGGGAATCATCGTGTAAAAGCCTCAGGCCCCGCAGGGCCGAGGGAGAGGAGGGCAGAGGCAGAGATGAGGGCGTGGGAGGAGACTGGGGAGGAAGGAGAAAGAGCAGTCATGCAGCTTGGGACAAATCTTTTGTTGTTTATCAGACTCTCAGTCAATCGAGTGGTGTTTGCTAGAACTGGAACGCAGGGGAGTGTTGAAGAGAGCGCGCGAAGAGAGATAAAGAGAATGGGCATTGCCAGCTGCCCCGGCCTTCACTTTGCGGTCATCATCTGTACAAACTCTGCAAGGAAAGCGGGAGAGCGGTCAGCGGGGAGCAGGGACAGGCTGGCGGCCCTCCCCGACAGGAGGACCCCGGAGCCCGACCCGCCAGCTCACCTTCATAATTGACCTGGCCGTCTCCGTCGATGTCGGCCTCTCTGATCATCTCGTCCACTTCCTCGTCGGTCAGCTTCTCACCCAGGTTCGTCATCACGTGGCGCAGCTCTGCCGCGCTAATGTAGCCGTTGCCGTCCTGGCGTTGGCACAGGAAGGGCTTTGAGCGGGAGGCAGAGGCAGGCGGAGGAGGGGCAGCGGGGGGCTGGGGGCCTGGAGGCGGTGGCCCAGGGGCTCTGGCTGTGCTGGCACCCGGAGCCCCGCCCGCCTGCCCCCGCCAGCGCCCCCAGCCGCCAGGGAGAGGCTGCTCACCTTGTCAAAGACGCGGAAGGCCTCTCGGATCTCCTCCTCGCTGTCGGTGTCCTTCATCTTTCTGGCCATCATGGTCAGGAACTCGGGGAAGTCGATGGTCCCGTTTCCTGCGGTGGAGAAGGCGTTGGGAACCCCTGGCCCGGGCCTGGAGGCCCACACCCCTGCCCGGGAAGGCCCTGTGCCGCGGGGCGGGGGCGGGGGCTCACCATCCGCGTCCACCTCGTTGATCATGTCCTGCAGCTCCGCTTCGGTGGGGTTCTGTCCCAGGGACCGCATCACCGTGCCCAGCTCCTTGGTGGTGATGGTGCCATCCCCGTCCTTGTCGAAAAGGGAGAAGGCCTCCTTGAACTCTGGGGGCGAAAGGAGAGGAGTCAGAGCTGGAGGCCGCCGAAGCCCTGATGCTGGGATGCTGACTCCCTGGAGGTGAGGCTGTGCCCACCTACAGACACCAGAACCGCCTGCGGCTCCAGCCCAGGCCCTTCCTTCCTTCCGTCCTTCCTTCCGTCCGTCCGTCAGCACTTACTGAGCACCTGCCCCCGCTCAGGGAGGACAGAGGGAAGGGACGGGCTGTCCTACGATTTCACATTTCTTATGGCCTCTGGACGGCCCCTCCCTCAGATGCCATGGACCAATGTGATGGAGGGGATGAGCCAGGAGTCTCCACCTACAGTGTGCCAGCCAAGGTCAGAGGCTGGGAAGGAGGGACGGCGGAGAAGCTGCAGATCGCCTCTGGTTAGCAGTGTCCCTCGCCTGGTACTGCCAGCCGGCTCCCTGGGGCCCTGGGCCCGGTGCACCGGCTTCCGGGGGAGGAGCGAGCGGCTGCATGGAGGGCGGGCGCCCGGCGGAGCTCAGCAGCCGGCCGGCCGGTGCGTGGGGGGCGGGGGTGGGGAGGAAGGGCCGGCTGCCAGGCAGGAGGATGAGGAGCGGTGGCACCGAGTGGGAAGGCCACAGCTGGGGACGCGTCAGGAGCGGGAGGAGCACGTGGCGCTGCCCTCCCACTGGGCCCGATTTGGCACCTGGCACTCTACCCCCAAACCCCCGAGAGCAGATGCCCGCAGCCTATTCCCAGAGGGCGTGGGCGGGGGTGAGGGGGGGACAGTGTGCTAATGGGAACGGGCGGGGAGGGGGGCTGGGTGTCGGTGCAGGGGAGCCCCTGGGCCTTGGGGAGGCCGGACCTCCCTCGTTGTTCTTGGGGGCACGGGGGCTGCGAGTGGGTCACGTGTGCGCCCTGAGCTATGATCGCGGAACAAGGCGGTCCTCTGGTGCCTCAGTGGGTGTGGGAGCCGGCCGTGTGACTGTGTGATGGGGAGGGGGTAGGAGGAGAAGCAGGGCGTCCAGGACTGTCACAGCCCAGCCAACCGGACGGCGGGCTGCGGGCTGGGTCGCTGCGGCCGAGGGCCGTTCTCTGACCCTCTCCCACCTGTGCCGGCCGTGGCTACGGGGACACCGGACACCGGGGCGGCCTCTGTCCCCAGGCAGCTCCGCCCGGGGGAGGGCGGGACCCGGAAGCCCACTCAGCCACACAGTTCCTGCAGCTGCGGCCGCTCCGGCCTTTCGGGAGGAGGGGACACAGGGAGGTACGAGGCGGGCCCTTGCTCATCTGTCCACCTGCACACGTGTACGGAGCGCCTGCCCCACACACACACACACACACACACACACACACGGAGCGCCTGAGAGGTGCTAGGCACCGAGGCCCCAGGGACCAACGGAAACAAAGCCCAGCTCCAGGGGCAGAGGCCCAGGAGGTAAGGGCATCATAAAACAGTGCCCTCCATAAACAGTGACCTGACAGGAGGAAAGGGAGGCTGTTTCAGAGGGATGAGGGCAGGCCTTGCCGAGGTGAGTGGAGATGGAGAAGCTGCTGCCCAGGCAGAGAACGCGGAGTGCTGCGTCAGGGAGGGGCAGAGCAGGCAGGGACAGGCCAGCTGCTGGGCGGTCCTGACGAGGGCCAGGGAGGCAGGAGCCCACCTGCTGAGCCGGGACACACAGCTGGGTCCACCCGGCAGCCACTGGTCCAAAGGCCCCGGGTGACCTGCAGCAGGAGGGGTCTCGGCTTTGGCTGTCTGGTCAGTGCTGCCTCGGGACCGTGCGCACGGGGTGGTCTACACCAGTTAGAACACCGAGCACAGGCGCCGCCCCAGCGATGGGCACACGGCGTGTCTGTCAGGGTCACTCCTGCCGAGGAAGAGGAGGCTGGGCATGCAGAGGCCTTCCTGAGGCGGGAGGGGGGGCACGCTCACCTGCGATCTGCTCCTCAGTCAGCTGGTCAGCCTGGAAAAGCAGGAAGGAGAAAGTCAGCCGCCGGGCTGGAGGCCACGACTACCCCCTGGCTCTGCCCGGCCCCGGAGAGCCAGCTCTGCGTGGCTGGGGGCACCGGGGTCAGTTAGGGCCTGAGGCAGAGCCAGGGCCTGGCATCAAGTCTGTGATTCAAGCCGGGGACGCAGGTGGGCAGGACACCAGGCTGGCCCGACACGGGGCCGGTGAGATGCCAGCTCCGCGGGCTGCAGCTGACCGGGCGGGCGGGCGGGCGATGCTGCTCCTCCCGCACAGCCTGAGTCAGGGCTGCGCCGGAGCCGCGCTGTGTGAAGGGAGCAGCTGCCCAGAGGCTTAATCAAGTGGCTCTGGAAGCTCCAAACCGAAGCAGGCCAGTCCTGGGGCAGGGCCGCGGGCGGCGTCTGGGGCTCTGCTGGTTTCTGTGTCAGCTACTGGGAGGTGCTAAGTCCAGCACAGCGCACCCAACTGGCAGAGTCCCCCACGCGGCGGCTCTCGCGCCGGCAGGAGCCCTAGGCTGGAGGCAGCTGCTCCCTCCCTGGCACACAGGGATGGCACAGGGCATCATCGGCTCTGGTGCTTTTGGGGAGGAGGGACTGCGGCAGGCGGCAGCAGAGGTGGCAGAGGCTACAGGACTAAAATCAGCTCCCGCTGCGCTGCAGTCTTTAACCCTCTCCAGCCTGGCTGCTGGGAAGCGGCCAGTGGGTGGCAGGCAGCTCCTGCTGCAGGCGGGGTTTGGGGGCGGGGTGGGGGAGAGGCTGGGGTTTGGGGGCGAACGGGGGGTTGGGGGGATGGGGTGGGGGAGAGGCTGGGGTTTGGGGGCGGGGTGGGGGAGAGCTGTGCGCTGGGAGCCAGCCAGGTGCAGGGATCCTGTGGGAGGGCCAGGTGGGGGCTGATCCCACGTTTAGCTCCATTTAGGCAGCAAAGAGGTACATTTTCCTTGGCTTCTGTGAACGGGGCCAAGAAGGCACCACCTTCCCAGACCCCTGTGGTCCAGACGCTGCTCCCTCCCCGGCTTCCGCTCACAATGAGGAGAAAGAGGCTCCAAGTCCGCAGGCTCTCCGAGTCCCCCAAACCGATGCAAACTACTGCATCGGCATTATGCTACAGAGAGGCTCCAGGCTTCTCCGGGAGCTGCAAACTACCCCCAACCCCGACCCCGTCCTAAATATTAGAAATGGCCACATTTCTTAAAACCGGTCTAAAATGTGTTCTCTCTCTCTCTCTCTCTTAAATCAAAGGGAAGGGGAATTTGAGGCCAAGCCCCAAATAGGCAGAATCTAAGGGAGAGGAAATCAAAGAGATGGTGACAGAGGAAAGATGGCTAAGGGAGGGAGAAGGAAATACATACACATTCTAGAAAAGTCCAAAGTCTAAACAGAGGTTCAGAGGCCAAAGGGAGACACTTCTGCATTGCCTTAGACTCTCACCCTGACCGGTTTGGCTCAGTGGATAGAGCGTTGGTCTGCGGACCAAAGGGTCCCAGGTTCAATTCCGGCCAAGGGCACGCACCTTGGTTGCAGGCTCCTCCCTGGCCTGGGCCTGGTTGGGGTTTGTGCAGGAGGCAACCAATCGATGTTTCTCTCTGCCTTTCCCTCTCCCTAAAAATCCATGGGAAAATATCTTTGGTAAGGATTACCGCCCCCATCCCCGAAAATACATATAAATAACTTGGGCCCTGGCGAGTGTCCCTCAGTGGTTAGAGCACCAGCCCTCAGACCAAAGGGTCTCGGGATCGGTTCCTGACAAGGGCACACACCTGGATTGTGGGTTCGCTCCCCACCCCCGGTTGGGGAACATGAGGGAGGCAGCCAGTCGATAGGGCTCTCTCACATCAATGCCCCCCACCCCACCCTCCTCTCTCTCTGAAAGTGCCTCAGGTGAGGGCTAACATCAGACTCAGGCCCACGGCCCCTTCTCTCGCCTCTTGCCCTGGCTCCGGAGGGGAAAGGGGCCCGGGCTGACCCCCAGATCCCGCCACCTGAGGAGGCTCTGGGAACCAGAGACGGGAGGATGGGCTCCGGTTACGAGCCCAGGCGATGCCGGGGGAGGGGAGAGGAAGATGGAGAGCCGAGCGGCAGCCGGGGAAGAGGGCCGCCATGCCACCTGCTCCATCCTCTCGGGCCTCGATGGGAAAGCGAGCCAACCGGGGCCTCGCAGCCCCGCCCCGCCCCGCCAAATCCTCCCGCCCGGGAGTGCTGAGGGGCCGGGCGTGGAGGCTGGGCAGGTTCTAGAAGGAGCTGAAGGAGCTGAGCGCAGAGGAGGGAGGCGCTGCCAGCCTGCTCCCGGCCGGGACCCCCGCCCGCTGGGTGCAGGGCGCCCCAGGCCCGAGCTGTGGTCACGAGGCCCGGCTGCCGCCTGAGCAGTGGGGACCGTCCTCAGGGCGGCTTCCCTTCCCAGAACTGCAGATTCTAAGCTTTTACCAAAACTGCTTCTGAAATAACGCAGCTGGGCTCCTGCTTCCTATTCCTCCTCCTGGGCTCCAGCAATGGGCTGGGCTAGGAAAATACCGTGGGGCGGGGGCGGGGGGCATCTCCCTGCCTGCCCTGCCCCGGGCAGGGCCAGGGCCCTGTGAGGTGGGATCAGAGACCAGGGCCAGGGCCCCTCACCGGCGAGGAGCCCAGCTCTGCGGCCAAAGTCCTCCCAGCCCTGCCGATTGCAGCCGGAGAGAGACCAGCGGGGCCAGTGTGGGAGGCGGGGGCCTCCTGGCCCTTCAGCAAGGCTCTGCGGGGACGGCGGGGACCGGGGCTCCGTGTCAGCGGGGTGAGACCTGACCCCCGGCCGGAGGCCAGGGAGGCTGGGTGCTGAGGGAGGGAGAAGCTGGCTCTCTCCGGGCCGGCGGTGGGATGAACAGAGGCCCGCTGTGAGGGCTGCGGGCTGAGGCAGGTGCCTCCTGAGGTTCTCCCGCCCCGAGGCCACCCTGCACTGCACTGTCATTTGTGCGAGCGGGGGATGCGGGGTTTGGGATGCGGAGCCGGAGGAGCCGGAGCCCAGAGCCAGCCTCCGGCGGGGAAAGGCCGCTCTCCTGGGCTGCAGGGCAGTGAGGGCGAGGCTGGGGCTTCAAAAGCTGCTTCAGGTGATGCACCCTCCGCTCCGCTCCCCACCCCCACTTCACGTGGCTTCAGTGCGCAATGGGGCCCCCCTCCTCCGCAGAACCCCTCCCTACCCACTGTGCAGCCCACTCCCCGCCCAGACCCGGCAGTCTTTGTCCCCGCTTCTCCCTGGAGACTCCCCGGGAGCGAACCCCCATCTGCCTCCAAGCCCAGACCCACCCGCTGTCACTCATCTCCTCCTCCCACCGCCCCGCCCAGGCCTCCCCCACCTACCTCTCTCCCTGCACAGCTCCGACTCCTGGGACCCAAACCCAGCGCTCCTCCCTTCCCCCCAACCCAACCCAACCCCCCTTCCTACATCAGCAGCCTCAACCCACTAGTAACCCCACAACCCTTTCTGGCTGCCTCCAAATCACTCCTGCACCCCCCGCCCCCCAACCGCAACCCTTTCCATCCCCGCAGGCCCGGGAGCATCCTTTAACCTCCACGGCCACCCACCCCGGCCCTGCCTCCTCCACCCTCTGCAATGCCGGTCCCCGGAGAACCCCCTCTCTGTCCTCCAGGGTTTGATGTGCTGAAGTCACCCCCATTTCCCCACCCAGGCCCAGCGACCCACCCCCCCGCGCCTTCTGGGGGAGCTCCCCAGCCCCCAGCCTCCTCCTGCATCCTCCCGGGACCCAATAGCCTCCTTCCGGCCACTGATGCTCAGCTCGACCCCCGGGGTCCAGCACCCCCGTCTCTGAGACCCAACGCCTCATCCTGGGTTCAAAAGCCCTTTGGGGGACCCAGCCGTCCCCTCGTTCCATCCTGGGTCCCAAGGCCCCCCTAGAGGGCTCGGATGCCCGTTTTTGGGGTCTCAACCACCCACGCATACCGCTCTGGGTTCCAATGCCCCCGATGGGGAAGCAGAAAGGGGATCAGAGGCGAGCGCCCGGGCCCGCGGGTTCCCCCCAGTCCGGGGTCCAGCCGCCCTCTTAGGGGGTCTTGCTCCGCGGGGATCGATTCAGGGCCCCCCCCCCCCCCGCCGCCTGGGCAGCGCCCTCTCCTCACTCACCATGGCGAGGCCGGGGTGTCCGGGGCGCGGGGATCAAGGTTCCTCCGGCGGCGGCAGCAGCTGCAGCAGCTCGAGCTCCACCGCGCGTCCGCGCCTCCACACTCAGTGCCCGCAGCGCGCGCCGCCGCCCGCCCAACGGTCCCCCAACGGCCGCCGCGCGCGCCCCGCCCGCCGCGCCCGGCCCCGCCCCGCCCCGCCGCGCCGGGCCCACGTGCGGCCGCACTGCGCCTCCCGCGGATCCCTCCGCGCCCCTCTCCGCGCCGCCGCGCGGGCCCCGCGAATTTCCCGCTTCCGCCCGACGCAGGCCCGGGTTTGCCGCGGGCCGCGCACGCGCGCGCGCGCACCCGCCGCGGGACTACTTTCCGTCGCCGCGCGCCCCGCCCCCTGTGCCCTCACCGCTCCCTCCCGGCGGAGGGGCACGGTGGGCTGCGCGTTACGCGTCCCTGTGAGAGCCGCGCCGCTATTGGGCCCCGGCCACGGCGGAAATGAGAGCGCGGCGGCGATTGGCCCGGCCTTCCCTGCAATGCGTCAAACTGGGAAGAGCCACTGCGGGGTGGCGCAGGGGGGGGAAACCTGAAATGTGTGGCCGCGTGGAGCGGTCGAGGCGGCTCGAGATAAGGAGAAACCGCATTTGTTTCTAGAGAAACAAATCCATCGTCTTTGTGGCTAGAATGGCAGACGACCGGGGGAAGGTGCCAGGAACTTCTCGGATCCCCCCCTAGCAGGTGGAAGATGGTGCAATCCAAAAGGCAGTGGCCTGAAGCCCCGCCCCCAGCTGGGCCCGGGGTGTTGGAGGGTCTGCAAGGTTCTGCCTTCCCCTCCCCACCCCACTCCGGGGGGCAGGTGTCTGCGTCCTGAGATGCACCCCACGGGTGGCGGGGCTCCTTTCCCCGCTTCGCTCCTGATCTGTGAAATGGGAGCCGTCCCCAAACAGGCTTTAGGAACAGAGAATTAATTCAGCCCATCATTCACTAAGCATGAGCTGGGCGCCTGCTGTATGCAGGGGCCTGTGCTTAGCTGGGCTTTGGAGACCACACTCTCCTGTCTCTTTCATTCCTGAATCTTTCATTCCTTGTTCCAAGGTTCCAGCAATAAGAGGGAAAATAATTAATGATAAGGTTAGCCAAGACAATTTGTTTATTGGAGCTCAGAAATGCCACCCTCCTTATCTATACTAATAAAAGGGTAATACGCTAGTGAGACCAGATATCTTTTGGACATCCTTCCGGGAAAAGCCACGGTGGTGAGGGCCAAGGCAGAGGCGGTTAGGGGTCACCAGGCCAGCAGGGGAGGGCAGTTAGGGGCAACCAGGTCAGCAGGGGAGGGCAGTTAGGGGCAACCAGGCCAGCAGGGGATGGCAGTTAGGTGCGACCAGGCCAGCAGGGGAGGGCAGTTAGGGGCGACCAGGCCAGCAGGGGAGGGCAGTTAGGGGCGACCAGGCCAGCAGGGGAGGGCAGTTAGGGGCGACCAGGCCAGCAGGGGAGGGCAGTTAGGGGTGACCAGGCAGGCAGATAGGTGAGCAGTTAGGAGCCAGCAGTCCCAGATTATGAGAGGGATGTCTGACTGCTGGTTTAGCCTGATCCCTCAGTTTTTGGATTTGGATTTTGGGCACAGGAAGCCTTTTGCTTTTGGGTGGTGGTGAGGCTGGGAAGGAATGAGTGCAGAGCTCTCTGAGGAGAGAATAAAACTGACCTGGGGGGAAGCAAAGACAGGATGGTGTGAGAAAGTCCTGTCGCTAGTCACTTCCCTGGGTCCAGGGCTCCTGAGGACACCTGCTCCCCTTCATGCCAGAATCTTGGGTACACGAGCCTCTGAAAGTCCTCTTTCGTTTGAGTTGAATTTGTCACCTGCAGCCAAAGAATTCCATTAAGATTATAATCGTAATGCAAATATCTCTGTTTTCCAACGGTCTTAGGCTCTATAGCAGCGGTTCCCAGCAGTGGGTCACCTAAGACCATCGGAAAACACAGATATTTACATTACGATTCATTAACAGCAGCAACGTTACAGCTATGAAGTAGCAATGAAAATAATTTTATGGATGGGGTCACCACAACATGAGGAGCCGTATTAAAGGGTCTCGGCATGAGGAAGGCTGAGAACCACTGTCCAATGGGCTTGTTATTTCCATTTTCCATCTGATGAAACAGTTTTATTGCCACTGGAATTAGATCAGACCAAACAGGTGAAAGAATTTTTTTTTTTTTGTGTGTGTGTGTGTGTGTGTGTGTGTGTGTGTTTAAAGTTAGGCAGAAATGGTCCTCTTAAAAATATTTTTACTTTATTTTATAAATATATATATTTTATTAATTTTTTACAGAGAGGAAGAGAGAGGGATAGAGAGCTAGAAACATCGATGAGAGAGAATCATCGATCAGCTGCCTCTTGCACACCCCCTTCTGGGGATGTGCCCGCAACCAAGGTACATGCCCTTGACCGGAATCAAACCTGGATCCTTTCAGTCCATAGGCTGACGCTCTATCCACTGAGCCAAACCGGTTTCGGCAGAACTTTTCTTGTTTTGAGACAAACCATTCAGAGACCCAATTTTCCACTTCTTCGTATGTTTTGAAGTGCTGCTCAGAAAGTGCCTGTGCCACCGATCGGAACAAGTGGTCATCTGAAGGCGCAAGGTCTGGTGAATACGGCGGGTGGGTTCATACTTCCCAGGCACGATCTTTTAAGTGTCTTTCACTGGTTTTGAAGTGTGTGATGGTGCATTAACATGCGGCAAAATTACTTTGCCGTGTCTTCTGGCCCATTCTGGTCGTTTCATGATCAAAGCGTGGCTCAAGTGGATTATTTGTGTCAGTAGCGATTATTTTATGTTAATGATGACTCATTTGTTTCAGCCCTTTGTATTCTGCATGTCTCTATTGAAATAAACCTGTGTTTCTATGAAGATGGAAGCTTTTTAAAAGTATATATATTTTACTGACTTTTACAGAGGAAGAGTGAGGGATAGAGAGTTAGAAACATCGATGAGAGAGAAACATCGATTAGCTGCCTCCTGCACACCCCCTATTAGGGATGTGCCCGCAACCAAGGTACATGGCCTTGACCGGAATCGAACCTGGGGCCTTTCAGTCCACAGGCCAATGCTCTATCCATGGAACCAAGTCAGTTAGGGGGAAGCTTTTGTTTTTTTGCCGTCCACACCAACTTCCACCTTGTTTATTTGGCCCGTGTTAGCCTTTGAGTTTGACATGCGTGTTGTAGAATGTCTCCCATGTGGTGTCTGTCTGACGACTTTTTTCCTGATTAGGCTGGGGTTATGGTTTTCGGGGGAAGACGGAGATAAAGTGTCATTCTCATCCCATGATGTGAAGGGTACATACCACCAACGTGACTTACCCCATAGTGTTCACCTTGATCATTGCATTTATCAGACTTCTTCAGTGTAAGGTTCACCCCCACACCCCCATTGTAGTGTTCTGGTAGGAAGTCACGCTACACAGTCCACATTCCTTTTATTTTTATTTTTATTTTTTATTTATTTATTTTTTAAATATATTTTTATTGGTTTTGTACAGAGAGGAAGGGAGAGAGATAGAGAGTTAGAAACATCGATGAGAGAGAGTAATCGATCAGCCACCTCTTGCACATCCCCTACTGGGGATGTGCCCGCAACCAAGGTACATGCCCTTGACCGGAATCGAACCCGGGACCCTTCAGTCCCCAAGCCGACGCTCTATCCATTGAGCCAAACTGGTCTCAGCTCCTTTTATTTTTAAATATATTTTTTATTGATTTCAGAGAGGAAGGAAGAGGGAGAGAGATAGAAACATCCATGATGAGAGAGAGAGAATCATGGATCCTCCTGCAAGTCTTTCACTGGGGATCTAGCCCACCACCTAGGGCATGTGCCCTTGACTGGAATTGAACCTGGAACCTTTCAGTCCACAGGCCAATGCTCTATCCACTGAGCCAAACCGGCGAGGGCCACAGTACATGCTTTAAAGGGGAGTGCTTAGCTTCCTCTCCGTGAGAGAGCTGTTCGCATCAGTTGTTTGGAAATGTGCTGAGGCACAGGAAAGCTGTCTCTTCTCCCCCATTTATTTATTTTTCAATCACTCTAATGTGTTTTTTTAAAAAATATTTTATTAATTTTTCACAGAGAGGAAGAGAGAGGGATAGAGTTAGAAACATTAATGAGAGAGAAACATCCATCAGCTGTCTCTTGTACATCCCCCACTGGGGACATGCCCGCAACCAAGGTAAATGCCCTTGACCGGAATCGAACCCGGGACCCTTCAGTCCACAGGCCGATGATCTATCCACTGAGCCAAACCACTTCTGGCAATCACTCTAATGTTTTTTGATCAGTGTGGACTTGCGGGTGTTTATTTTATGCTATGGCTTATCATCCAATGCATAGCGTTTATTTTGTTGCTCAAATTATTCCGTCTTGGACGGTGGGATACTCTTCCGGTTGGCTCCTGTATCATTGGACACACCCTCATCGTGTGTGTGTGTGTGTGTGTGTGTGTGTGGTTTAGCACTTTCTTATTTTTCCAGCACTATAAGACGTCCCAGACACATCTTGTGTATTTCCCACTCCGTTCCTAGAACAGTCATTTATCCGGGGAGCCCTGGCTCCAGTTGTTGGAGAATGATGTTAGAAACTATAAGCACTGGGCCCAGCCGGTTTGGCTCAGTGGATAGAGCGCCGGCCTGTGGACTGAAGGGTCCCCAGTTCGATTCTGGTCAAGGGTTGCCCGCCTGATCCCCAGGAGGGGGTGTGCAGGAGGCAGCCAATCAATGACTCTCTCTCATCATTGATGTTTTTCTCTCTCTCCCTCTCCCTTCCTCTCTGAATTCAATAAAAATATATTTAAAAAGCTGAATCCGGTTTGGCTCGGTGGATAGAGCGTCAGCCTGCAGACTGAAGGGTCCCGTGTTCGATTCCGGTCAAGGGCATGTGCATTGGTTGCAGGCACATTCCTGGTGGGGGGCGTGCAGGAGGCAGCTGGTGGATGACTCTCTCTCATCAATGTTTCTAGCTCTCTGTTCCTGTCCCTTCCTCTCTGTAAAAAAATCAATAAAACACACACACACACACACACACACACACACACACACACACACACAAAACAAAATGAGGAAGCTGAGGTTGCAGTGGACAGGGGTGCACAGAGTGGGCCAGCTGGGGC